GTTTTAGTGAAAGCACTAGTGTTAGTTCTAGTTTTAGTTCAAGATACATTAATATAGCGGTTTTAGTGAGAGATGCAAATAAAAACGAACAAATGTTATTAAACTTTAATGAGAAAAGGAGTACGCGTGTAATGAAAATTAGATATAATTGTAAACTATATGTACCACTTCGAACTTGATTCTGAAGAAGGTTGCAACATGGCATCCGAAACGTCAAACATTTTTTCAAAAAACGCACGGCTTAACCCGAAAGTTTCTAGTTCTAGGTCTAGTGTTCGTTTCAGTGATAGTGCTAGTGTTAGTTCTAGTTTTAGTTTAATATATGTACCAAATGTAAAGCCAACCTCAAGTATCAAATGAGATAACCTCCTCAGTCCAGGTTATTAAGTAGTATTCAATAAAAATCAGTTTCATTACTTGTTATTGATGTATTAATACATGAACATTTGTATACTACACAAGGTGTCTCACGTAACTGGTTCGTTAGAACTTTTTTTGCAGGATATGCAGGAAATCGTTTGTATTTTTATTAGAAGGCCATGACATTTTGACAGTTTTTTGTTTAATTTATTTCTATTATTATTTATTCTACTATTATTACTACTATTAACTACGATTGATACCTTTTAGATTACTAGCTTTTACTTACCAAAAAAATAACAAACAGATTCAACAAATTCATAGCTTTCTAATAAAAATACCTACATTTCGTGCATGTTTTAATAAATTTTGCAATATGAGGCAAACTACAATAAATAGGTATAGGAATCTTCACAGATAATTTGTAGAGAATTAAATTTCCTTTCTGATAGGCTAAAAAGATGGGGCGTTCCATTTTAAATTTTCGACTTTCTCGCCATTGAATATGGAGAAACAGTAATTCAATTTTTGACTAGCTTGTATAAGATACTCCGATACGACAAATCACAATCTATTTGACAGCATCTGAAGAGTAATCGTGCCAATGTAGATCTTTTTTGAATGAACGTTGACTGAGATATGGGCTTTTAAAAAGCATGATGAAATTTGCCAAAAAAAATGTTAAAACCAAAATAATTCGAAAACGAAAAACGCTAGGTACCAATAACTTTTATCAAAATCAACCTATTTTTTTTACGTACAATTAAAGGATGTAATAAAAACTATGGCATTCCGTTTAAAATAACGAAGTTATGGTCTACTTCTGGTACACCGGAAATGGCGGCCATCTTGAAAATATTTTAGATCGAAAGTTTCGAATGAACAACCCATGCTACCAAAATTTCAAATCTCTACGAATAGTGGAACCTGAAAAAGTTCTAACGAACCAGTTACGTGAGATACCCTGTATAGTATACAAATGTTCATGCATTAATACATCAATAACAAGTAATGAAACTGATTTTTATTGAATACTAGTATGATACTTAATAACCTGGACTGCGGAGGTTATCTCATTTGATACTTGAGGTTGGCTTTACATTTGATACATATACACTGACCGGCAAAAAAAACCGGCCACTAAAATGTAGCCACAATTTCAAAGCTGGCTTTTACTAGCGGACCATTCATTCGATTTTGATGATTCTTTTTTTGATCGAAAAGTTTGCGACAGTTTTGCGTCGTCCTGTCCTACCGGACAACCTTCAAGAGTTACGAATTGCTTTTGAAGAACAGTTTGCCGCAATTGCTCACTGACATCAACAACATGTACCATTTGAAGACGACACCGAGCTTCTACAGCTATCGTCCTACGATTGCTTAGAACATTAAAACGGCCAAAAAAACAATCATCAAAATCGAATGCGCGGTTCGCGAGAAAGCCAGCTTTGAAGTTTTGGCTAATTTATAGTGGCCGGTTTTTTTGCCGGTCAGTTTTGTTTACAATTATATCTAATTTTCATTACACGCGTACTCCTTTTCTCATTAAAGTTTAATAACATTCGTTCGTTTTCTTTTGCATCTCCCACTAAAACCGCTATATTAATGTATCTTGAACTAAAACTAACACTAGTACTTTCACTAAAACTAACACTAGACCTAGAACTAGAATCTTTCCGGTTAAGCCGTGCGTCTCTTGACATCCCTCACTTTTAGAAAATAGCGGAATTATGAGTGTATCATGTGCCATCGACGATATATAATACCGTCTTGGTTCTTCACGTTGCTTCATCTCCTAAACAGTACTAATTGATATAGTTATTCACAAAGTCAGTGTACAACTCCTAATTAACGATAATTAACTTGCCGGTTGTATCCCGACCTTTTCTAGAGGTAATGCCATTAAGATGTAATGAACGCAGAAGAAATAATAATCTTCAATAACTGAAAGCAGATCTTGGCCTGATCATTCCAGTTCGCAAAACTCGCAAAATTGGCTTAATGTCCTTTTTTCAGTCCAATCAGAAAAAGTGCTTCAAACTAAGGAGCCATTTCAGTGGCAGAAGTTTTTTGCAGACTCTATCTCTTTCGTACTTCGGGTGATTTCATATATTGGTATAAGTAATGATGCTGTTTATCACATCTTTTGTTATAAATAAAAAAAATCCTCTAACATACTTAATATTTGTATTTGCTGCCCCTTTGGGTTTGATAATATTTTTTCTCACGTTTGATTTACAGTTCTTTAGAGGTTCTTAGAAATTCTTCATCTTTGCCAATGTGAAGATGATAATCATGTTTTTCATCTTTACGCACATAATCAGTCATTAACAACCTTCTCTATATCGGATATATTTTCCACAGCTTCTACCATTTCTTAAAAATCTTTTTGTGTTACAATATATCGCAACTTAAATGCTCTCCCATTGATCTTTACCTACCTCAACAACTAAGATCAACACGTAAACATACGTCGACAAATCTCACCCCCAACCCAATCCAAACACATTTAACACACTCGCTGTCATCAAGCTAAATAGTACAAGACTTAACCTATCTCTTTAATATATCTTCTTTAAATGAATATATTCACTTAATTCTCGACTCCTTACATTTCAACGTCTTACCATAGTTTATAGGATTCTCTTCAACGCATAGTGGTTGATGAAAGCTTTTCGGAGATTATACCAGAGAGATATGTGTTGACATCCATCGTTATTATAGTTCCATGGGGATCGCTCGTCTCATCAACTCTCACATCACGCCTATTGTGACTCTAGTTAAAAGGTTATAGTAATTATTGAAGATCGATATCGAACTATAATTGGGTTAATTTTTAGTTTCATCAAATTTGTAAATGAAAATTAACTTTGCGGCTTTATCTCGTTAATATCTCTTGTTGTTCAAAGTAATATTAAATTATCACAATTTATATTTATTTCTTTATATTGATCTTATGTTTCTTTTTAGAAAATAATATTATCTACAAAAACTCATTACAATTCCAAGAACGTCTAGATTCTTAAGCCCATTAGCTGGATAGACGTGTGTTAATGAACAATCTTGATTTGAAATACCTCCTGGGATTGGGTTAGAGCTTGGTGTGTTACTGACAGGCTTCACATATAGGGTGTGAAACGTGACAGTTCGAGAAATATCTCGAGCTCAATAAATATCGACATTTACGGTTTAAAATTTCTCATTTTTGCAACATTTAATGATGTTGAGTTGATCTTTTTAATCCGTAACAAAATTAACTTCATTAGTTTCTATTGAAAATCTCATTCGATTCATATATGTCTTCCATCCACGATTTCATTTGAAATCAAATATTGGGATTAGATAAAAAAACTTTCTCAACAATTCGCCTTCGTTTCACCAAACCTCAATTAAAATTTATATTTGCTAAATAAATAGTGGTTTTCAGAGTCCAGTTTGATTTTAACAATTTTGTTTTCGCGAATAATTCCCTCAAAAGGTAAATCAATATTCCTCTATATCAGGACGACCACGCTCCAACCACTACTGCATTATCATTCTACAAGTTGTTAATTAATTTTGAGCATTGCGTGTAATATTGGACCCCTACCAGTATTGAAATTGCAGATTTGAACTTCTAGAGATCGTACACATTTGCAAATGGTATGTGGTGTTTGTTTTATCGATTGATTGAACTCCGTATTGGAACACATGATTTCAATCACGACATCATTTTGAGCATACATCACGATGTTATAAAATAAATTGAATTTATTTATTAAAATGTACGTACAGATATAAATAGAAGAGTTTGAAGTAATTTGATTTTATTCCAAGTTCGTTTTGCGCCGATTAAATAGATTTTGAACTAGCGTATTGTTAGATCAAAGTTGCACCAAAGACACCTGTAGGCGATACAAACTTGGAGACTTCCTCTCTATTTTCACAGTTCTTAAACAACTAACTTCATCACCGTGCACGTATTTTAAAACCGAATATCCGCTTTCTGTAAAGTTAAATTTCTCTACAACGTTTCGACTTTCTCTGAAACTACTAAGTTTCCTCTCGTAAAGATGTAAATACAAACCCTAAGGGTATTTCACAATTTAACAAACACAGAAAAGTTTATACTTAATACCAAAAATACTTATTCTGCGTAAATAGTTAAAACTGATAATAATAGAAGTACAAAACTAGTTGTTACCCCCGAGGTACTCTAAATTTGTTAACAGCTTCGTTCGCTATCCGATTCCTCGAGGGTGTCCTTCGTCGGAGGTAAAAGCAAAAAACAAAAGGCTTAATGAATCGTATCGGATGGACGGGGAGGTCTTTCGGTCGCTAATGAGATGACATTCAGCTCTCTCTAAAATTAAAGCCCCGGCTTGGTATCGCAACCTGCTGCACCGGGTGGCCCTTCTAAAAGAAGATCCTTAATTATCAACAGGGCCGTAGGTGCAAATTGACCCTCGTTTACGCCGTGAATCGACGCTAATTGCACTTTTACCTATGTAAAAGTTGAAAACAAAAAATGCTATCGCGTTAAACCTAAATGAGGCAACAAGTGGTTTTTAATGTTAAGATATCAATTAGTAAATAATAAATTAGTATATATAACCATGCTAATTCTATTCAATTAATTCTATTCAATGGTGATATTTCAGCTCCAGAAACTCAAAACCAATCGATGTGCAGCATTCTCAGTGACATGTTCTCTCTGGGCATGGTAATTTGCGCTATTTTCAACCAGGGAAGGCCGCTCATTCAAGCTGGAAACTCGACATCCACCTATCTCAAACAATTAGAACTTGTAAGTAGAGGGTATAATTAGAGGGCGGGAAGCTGAAATTGATCGCAAATCGGTCCGTTCGGAATTGTTTGTTTTTGGTGCTGTAAAGTTGGAGGACCAAGTACATAATATACTGCCACGGATACCAATCCCACTACAAGAAGCAACAGTACGCTTACTCAGTAAAGATACGAGACAACGTCCAACCGCGCAACTGCTATCACTGATTAAGTATTTTAGGTAAATTAAATAATTCAAAATTCTTTCTAGGTTTCATTTATATCGCTTAATAAATAAAGTTTTTTATATGTATATCTATAATTACGGTCACAAAAAAAATGATACAAAGACTTCATTCTAACTTTTGATTCATAATTCTTCTAAATAATACCTTATTAGATGTCTAGATATATTTTATTACGAATTAAAAACGTCGGGATTAAATAATTAATTAAATAAAATACTAAATTAAAGTCGTGGTTGTTCCTACTCGGAGATTACCATGAAAATTGTGGACTTACCGATCTTATAAATGCTTCGGAAAAGGTGGAGAGTGATTTAACCATGGAAATAAATCAAAACTGCTCAATCAGGAATAATGCTAAACTTAATGCGATATTAGTCTATAGCTTTTTTTATTTGCAAGATAATTTCAGACAGCAAGCTAAAAATCTAAATCGAGGTTAACAACATTTAGAATACAGGTATAAAAGCAACTAAACTTCAAAAGGCACTAAAACTAGCTACGGAGAAGTCCAGACAATTCTATGTTGACACGGAAGTTACTGAAGCAATTCAGTAACTTCCGTGTCAACAAAAATATTTCAAACTGTTTGTGTTTTGATCACAACGTACTGCATCATGCACTGGGATCTTTTACTTGCAGAAATTTTAGAAGCTAAAAATAAAAGTCTATTTAAGGATAAGCTAGAAATACAGAAAGTTATGATGCCCAAAAATAAATGATTTNTAAATCAAAACTGCTCAATCAGGAATAATGCTAAACTTAATGCGATATTAGTCTATAGCTTTTTTTATTTGCAAGATAATTTCAGACAGCAAGCTCAAAATCTAAATTGAGGTTAAGAACATTTACAATACAGATATAAAAGCTACATAGTATGAACGTCAAAGGTACTAAAACTAGCTACGGAGAAGCAATTCGGAATAATTAAACATGTCATCTACAAAGTAGCATAAAGAAAAATCGCAACAGCAAGATGAAGGAATGAAGCGACGGGAAATTGAGGCAAAGGCGAAACTGGCCTCACATCGCATTGACCTAAAAATAATTGGTGGACATGGTCAAAAATGGTAGCAAAAACATGCAAAAATAAGAACTTATCTAAAGAACTCGGACGCAAAGAATCCCGACTTCCTTCATCATATCTAGGTTTGAGCTAAACTGGAAAACAAAAGCTAAGACCATCTTTGTAAGAAAATTCAGTTTCAAGTTCTTGAAGATAAGGCGAAAGTCAGTATGAACGGCGATATTAGATTTATTGGACTACCTGTGACGATGTTGAGGTAAAATAAACATTAATAGGGAAACTAAAATCTTTAAAAATGGCTATATTACTATTTAAAATTTGGAGTTAATTTAGATGTTTTAGTAATGAGCATTATGAGGGGGTCCATGTTTGAATTGTGAGCAATCAGATCACTTAAGTAGTAGGTTACTACAAAAATATTTCAAACTGTTTGTGTTTTGATCACAACGTACTGCATCATGCACTGGGATCTTTTACTTGCAGAAATTTTAGAAGCTAAAAATAAAAGTCTATTTAAGGATAAGCTAGAAATACAGAAAGTTATGATGCCCAAAAATAAATGATTTCGTAAGAGTGCTTATAAACACACAAATAATTAGCTTTGGGACTGGACTCAAGAACAGATTAGTCTGGTGAGACAATTAATAATCAAATAAGACCTAAACGTTCTAGTAAAGATGATGGTATAAACTCAGGATTGTTTAGAGCAAGTTGAAATAAGCAAAGTACTATGATTGTGCTGAAAACAATTGGGAGCCATTAAGAGCCATTAGCTCAACTAGCAACAGATCTTAGAAACCCTTCAAAGTCTGTGTGAGGCAATCTGTACATGTTAGAATATTTCCAAAACCTTTGGACCTTCGATTAAAGTAAATGTGGTCAAATAGATTCCTTATTAACCTTAATTATAGCATATTTCCCTAATGGCATCATTTTTCCAAACACTCTGCTTTGTACATTCCTAATACAAAAGACTATGGATTTTTATGTATTGCAATATAAATAATAAACAGCAAAACTTCACCCTCTCTCTCCCTTTCTTTCTTGTCCCCATTATTGCTAACATATCCAATCCCGCCTGCTCAAATTTAACTTTTTATATGCTTCTACCGTTCCATTCACTCTACAGTGTCCGCCCAAAAGTCAGCAACTTCAATAAAATTTATGAAATTTTGTTTATGTGGGAGGTTCGGAATCGGTGTGAACCTTCCACATAAGCTAAATTTCAGAAATGTTAATGCAATGGAACAGAAATAAAACGGCTGTTGCTGCCTTTTTGACGGACACTGTATATTCATTTACTTTTGTTTCTGGTACTTACCTCTGTTGATACTGCTTAGTGTAAAATTTAGTAAAAATACTAAATTCTTTGGCTTTTCCAATACAAAAATCTAGTTGTGGAAGTTCCGATTTGGAGTAAAACATAGAAAAGTGTCATAAAAAGTGTTTTATTTTCCGGTTGTGGTAGTGTGGTGCTGGAAGACGAGCCACTTTTACTTGATTTTGCAACCCAATATAATCTTTATACAATGTTTGCTTATGGCGTACTAGTATAATAGTTGGATACATGACCCTAATATTTTCTATCCGTTTGCCATCAAATCTGTAGCATTAGATTACTTTTACACAAGCACCAAAGAACGTACTTAGTGAAGTCACTGCCTTATTGTCGTACCATTTTGCTAGTCGCAGTTCAAAATTTCCGTAAATTGCAGTCTTTTCTACATAGCAATCTCAGCCTTTTTTCTTCTGTGCGTTATCAAAGGACAAATTTAAAATAAGGTAAAAAATCATAAGAGCTCTTTCTCAGTTTTTTAATAAATATACTTAGTACCGGTTTTGATAATTACATATCATCATCAGTTAAATATTCCAATATTCTTATGTGATTGGTCCATTTTAACCCGTAGTGTCGTTCAGTATCGCCACTTTACATCTTTATTTTCCGTTGTTTTAGTTTTTAAATCATACACCTCAGTGATTATGGATTTATTAGAAAAGGACAAATTATTACCGGGAATACGATTTGTGCCAATTCAATTTGCAACTATGAACTGCAAAACCAATTATCGTAAAACAACACAAAATTTTAATTTTTGGGAATGCGCCGGACTACATAACAAAGAGAAATAATGTCAGACAGATTGTCTGGTTATCTTATTGCACCGCAATATACTTCAAAACTAAATATAATACCACTTGCACCTGGTTGAATGGCAACATATCTGAGAGCCTCATTTTTTTGCCTCTTTGGATTGCACTCTTTTAGAGGCATTATATCTGCGATATTAGGAATTCTATAATTACTGCTCTTTCTGTTTGCAGGTATCTACTGATATTACTGACTTATAGAGCAACAATCTATGAATTATTCCAGTTCTTTAGAAAATAAATTAAAGTTGGCTCCCATGTCATTTTGGGCAGCAGTCAAGTTTTTTATTCCAGTAGCTTTTGTTGAACAAGTTATAAAAAAAGTTTATCAGTGTTCCTACACTATTTTTTGCAGGCAAATCGGATCCCCAAATGAGTTTACTAGTGACATCCTTTTATTTTATTTATTTTAAGTTTTTTAGTTTGTTCTGAAATAGAATGCAAAGATATAGGAATTTGTTAATCTGCAGCAGTTGCAGAACACGAAGTCAGGGACACCTGCTATAAATGTGACGGAATACGAAAAATTTTTAAGAAAAATAACAAAGTAGAGAACCAATTCTCAAATAAAAAGAACTTGCCATGTATAGCATTGGGTTGGTATGTTTCGTTAGGAACACTATCGTCGCTGTCAAACTCGTCTATATTTATAGCATCTAGCAAAATAATATTGCCATGTTTTAAACCAAAAAATTTTCGAGAAACCGTTATCTACAAATACACTGTAAAACACTGTTGACACTCAAAACACGTATATTTCAAGATACAATTGCGCCAGACACTTGCTCTACAAGATGCGTACGACGCCCTCGAATTTTTATAAAGCCTTTCTGTTATTATTACTTACCAATTTCCGCCGATTCATCCGGCGAATTGGGCCGTTACCCTCAATCGAATACAAAGACCGTCTTTCAAAAAATCAATAAACTATGTAAAAATAGAAGCATTGGTAACATTTCCAGATCCTAAAATTGTTTAATTTTTGCAATAATTAATATTAAAATTCAAAATATACAAGCTTTGGTGACGTTTACGAAGTGAAGTTTCGCGTAAGATCAATGAGAGACAAACGTGCATCATTCGGATCTCTTCTTAAATAAAACATTATAGAAGTCTTCAATTTTGATAAACTATCTAATAAGTCAATAAAAAAAAATTGTAACGGCTCCATTCTACTTGCACCATAACCTCATTGCATATCCATCAGGACTGCCACATGTTGTAAGACCATGTATATTGTAATGTACAAGGAGACAATTGGACTTAAACGAAATGGCGAACAAAGTCGATATATGCATATTCAGATAAATGCATACACGGAAAATAGAGAGTTAATTTTGAAGTTCCAAATCCATTTTTGATAACTATTTTATAATTATAACCTGCCTTTTGTTCTTTTCCCGTCCCTGCTTTCGTCTATTTACTTACTATGTTAACCAAAGCTTATTCGTGTTTTCCGTTTATATTTTCATTTATCTAAACATCTCCATCTTCTTTTCAAAATTTTGAACTTTACATCATATTGTTAATTTACGCTTGTATTGCTCCTCCATTTTTATTCATCTCATAATCATTTTTTAGATATTTTAATTAGTTATTGCATTTTCCCCACCCCATTTTATCCAATTTACTTCCAACAATTCCCATTTCGCCGCTTTTTCCTCGGTCTCTCTTTAATATTTTATTTTAATTTATCACCTGAATCATCCGCTCGTTATTTACCCTGTTATGCTCTTTTATGTCTTTCAATTTTCTTTCCATTATTTCTCGTTGTTTTTTATTTTTCCTTACAATCGCTCATCATCATTCCTAGTTCAG